AGAGACTGGGCTAGGATGAGCCAGTCGTCGATGTAGTTGAAAATCCGGATGCCCTGGAGCCTCAGCGGGGCCAGTGCTGCATCTATACACTTGGTGAATGTGCAAGGGGAAAGTGCCAGGCCGAATGGAAGAACCCGATACTGGTAAGCCACACCCCCGAAGGCGAACATCAGGAACTTCCTGTGAGAAGGACGGATGGAGACGTGGAAATAGGCGTCCTTTAGATCTATGTGCGTCACGATGGCGGGGATGGTGAGCATCTTGAACCTGAATCTCCTCAGAGACTGGTTTAGAACCCGCAGATCCAAAATAGGGCGCCCTCCGTCCTTCTTAGGGACTATGAAGTACCGGCTGTAGAACCCGGCGTCTCTGTCTGGGGGGGAGACACGTTCCACGGCCCCTTTCCTCAGCAGAGTAAGAACTTCCTGTCCCAACACCTGACCTTGCTCCGCCACCCCGTTGAATTTTGGAGGGCGGGTTTTGAACTGTAGTCGATACCCATCTATGGCAGTGCGCAGGACCCATGGAGAAATGTTCGTCAGGCGGGGGGTGCCCCCGAGAAGCGACACTCTGCTTCCTCTCCCCTCGGTAGGAGCTCGTAGAGGGAAGGGACCTACGCCTGGCAGCCTCAGCTGCCTTGGGTCCAGACCGGCAAGGAAGGTACTGGAACCGATCCACCACCGAGTCCACCGCGTCACAGAAGAGACCCGCCGTGCTCACCGGTGTATCGAGGAGGAAGCTCTTATCCTTCTCAGATATGTCCGCGAGGTTGAGCCATAGGTGACGCTCTGTGGCCACCAGAACCGACATGGACCGGCCAATGGAGCGGGCTGTTTCTTTGGTGGCCCGGAGAGACAGGTCCGTGGTTCTGCGAAGCTCCGCCAGATCTTCCTCAGAGGGACCCCACCTCTGAACCATCTCCTGTAGCAGGTCGGCTTGGTAAGCTTGAAGCACCGCCATGGTGTGCAAGCTCGCACCTGCCTGGCCCGCTGCCATGTACCCCACGAGCGTAGATGTGGTGCGACATGGCTTGGTGTGTAACGCCGGCTTCTCCAGGCTATCCACCACAAGCTATCTCTCCCCTCGACTTGCGTCCTGCAAGTCGAGGGGAGAGATAGCTTGCAAGCGCATCCTCCACCCGAGGCATCCTCCCATAACCACGGTCCCTAACCCCCATCACATTACTGTAGTTCAGTGATCGGGGTGTGGAAAGCCATGTAGAGAAGGGTCTGCCCCATGATTTACTCAGTTCATCATGTAAATCAGGAAAGAATGGCAGAGACCGGCGTGGAGGTGGCGCGTGGTGCTTAAGAAACCTTTCATCAAGCTTACCAATAGCCTGTGGTGTCTGCTCCTCCTGTGGCCAGTTGATGTTGAGCTTAGCCACGGCTCTATTCACCACCTCCAGAAGCTCGTCATAGTCGGGCGCTGCCCGATGACGCCGCCCCGACACCCGGAAGTCATCGTCCACTATGCTGAGCACGTCCACCTCCTCGGAGTCGGATTGCTGCAGCGTCTCCGGATCCAAACCACGAGAGGGAGAAGCCGAGAAACGAGCTCCCGAACGAGGAAAGGAAGCGTCGGAGCCAGCGGATGAAGGTCGGGAAAAAGCCTCAGCCGTCCCGAAATCCTCCGACAGATCACGCTGTGAACCCCATGAGTGAAGCCGCCGGGCCGCCACAGCGGCCGCAGGGCCCGCGGGACCTCAGTACCCGCATGGAAAGGGCTTCGCAATGGCCGCAGGAAGCCCCCTCAAGAGCTGCCCGGGCGTGCTCCATCCCCAAACATGAGACACACATCTCATGAGAATCTCCATCCGTGATGTACCAAGGGCAAGGAAAAACACACCTTTTGTACTTCTGGTTGCCGGACATGCTGTTAGACTTCTTCTTCAGGTAAGACACACTGCTTGTAGGACTGGAGCTTTCTTCAAACAACATACAGAGCACCTGCTGAATAGAAAAAAGCTAATGATGAGTGTGTACAGGTGTGCTTTATACTCCTCCGGTTATTTCGTCACACCTTACCATTCTAGCAACAAACCAATAGGATTGGAGAAATCGTTGATTTCATTCACATTCAGACCTGCTACGCCTAGAGGCGTTCCCATAGTGTCGTAACCAACGCAGTTCTGAGGTTAAATAGTCAGTCAGAACTGAAGAAGTCCCTTGGATGAAGGACGAAACGTCTTCCAGTATCTTCAACCAAGTCCAGTCGCCCTTGACTTTAACCTTCGTTGGATAACTATGACCTGGATGACTGAGAATCTTCACAGACACGTTCAAAAAATTATTTTGATAACTTTTGATCAGCGACTATGATCCCTCCAAAGGTTCAGGTTGATTGGCAAAACCCTCTGGGACGAGTTCGCAAAAATAGGTTTTAGAGAACAGTGATAAAAAGTTGCATAATTTGACATTTTTAGAGCAGGAGCCCATTGAAGCAGAGATGCAAATGAATCCATATTCCTGTATTTTATTTATGTGTTAACAATATTTAAAAGGTAAACGGCAGAGAGCCGAGGGGGGAGCGGCTGCAGAGTTCTGCCTGCTCGCCGAGTAGAGACATGCACCTCCAAGTGTACTGTTCAAAAATGATATACTCTTTGTGGGGTTCATCAGTGGGGATTATTGATTCGAAATACATATTGAAGGACGTTTAGAGTCATTAAGTCATTATGTTATTACACTTGGTTGAAGTAGCATTCCTTGAGATTCAGCAAACAATCTGAGATGATAACCGTGTTTGATCAGTGACGTTTCTGATAAGGAGCTTAAGAGGTGGATGCATTATTCGGCAGAACAAATGTTGTAGGCTACCTACCTTTGTCAGCATATAATGAGCGTTATTCCTGCACACAGGTAGCTGGGCTTTAACTAGGGCAATGCTCCTGAGTTTAATAAAGTTAGTTAAGGTGAGAAATTAGGTGTGTGAGATCCTCTGAGTTTGTTTGTTGGATTAAAATTTGCCAAAAAAGGTAGTACAGTTCAATAACAAATATAAAATTAAAGCTGCAAGCAGCGTTGGGCGGGCCCTCGCACTTGTAGCGCATCCAGGTGTGAGCCGGCCGATTTGCATACTCTCGAACTCTGCCGGTGCGGCTGTGAATTTGCTACGCGGTTCCGAGCCGCATGAAGGTGTTATATGTCACTTCCTGTGTCCCCTATGTGGAGCTACATAGCACTTGCCGCTATGAATATAAATCGGTATTGGTGTGTAGATGTCTGCGGGGTGGGAGAGTTATCAAGCACGTAAAGTTTGTTTCAGATGTGAGCATGTACACTGAACAATAATGTACCCAAACAATAAAATAAATTCCTTTTATATTTCCCTGCCTTGTTGTTTATGTGTACATACAGAGGAAGAATGTGAGAACAGCACACATTTCATCGCTACTGTGTTAGAGCATGGGAGAACAGTGGATACTTTTAATACAGCCCACACCCTTGACAGCAGCAACATTACTCAAATTAGCAGTGTGGGGAATTAATTAACGTGATAGCAGCCATGGCTAACCTTTTACAAGTTATATAATGTTAGCTTCCATCATATAACTAAGGACTCTACTGCTAGCTTTATTACGTTTATTACAGACATACTCAGGTGACATCCAAATAAACGACTTGTAACTACCGTTATGTAAAAGGCTTAATTGATTTGCTTCAAATTGTTCGTTTGAGATGTAAGTTAACATTATGTAATTAATAACTGATTCATAGTTAACTGTTAATGTTGGTCTCAACAAAATCTAACGTTAGTCTTGCAAATAACGTTACCACATTATATATTAAAAAGCATTTAAAACCTTGTGGAGTACTATGTCAATAACAGATATGTTAGTTATTTTAATATTTTCCGGTGTCTTACCTTGATGAGCTGTAATGACCATAAACTGGTAACAACATGGCCACAGGTTCCTACCTCCACCGTACAGCACCAGCGGGGGTTTAGAAACTATCTCTGCTAATGCAGAGTTGCATGTAGCATTAGCTCCTTAGCTTGAGCTAACTCGGTCACGTGTTGGAGAGGCGGGCAGTGAGAGGTGGGCGAGAAGGGTGGACCAGCTCTGTATGCTGTATCTACTGTGTGCCGCCTGCCGGTGTCCTCCTGCTGCAGCAGAGTGCAGGCAGACTTAGTCCCGGTTGGGTGCCGTGAGCCAGTCCAATCAGTAATAGACTGTTTAAAGGGGTATTTTCTTGTCATATAGTTGACTGTTGTGTTAATTACCAAACCTGTTTCCCATTGTTATTTCACAGATTCCCCCTATAACTTTCGTTGTAATTATTAATTCCCCAGATGTTTGCCCCAGATTGTTTTGGTTTATCCCCTAACCATCTCCAGTGGAGATCGCTCTGTGTTGTGCTGCCTGATAATAAACTTTGTTAAAACTTGGAACTGTGTCACCTGCTTGACTTTCCACTAGCTGTTAGTCCCACATCCCCTGGATGCAACTTGGACCTAACAAGTGGGTAGAATTTGCAACCCACCTGCCAATTTTAGTGAGTTTTCGTGCAGCAGTTATTGCTGCCCAAACAATTTTAGTGGAGAAAAAGAATAAAGAAAGAAGAATAATGAGAACTAAAACAATAGGGCTCCAGCAGCTTCACTGCTTGGATCCCTCATAACCTGTATTATGACAAAACTAAATCTACCTACCTACCTGACATAGTCAGCCTTCTTGCTACAGGTTCAGTGGCCATACAAAAGGTCTATTTTTGCTTACATACGTAGCTGCCTTATTGTAAAGTGAACACTGGGTATGCAGAATGTAGAAGTCTACTTCAGTTTACTTAGGCTGTTATATTGCAGGGGGTGTAAGGAGAATGTATAAGCCTATGGCAGATTACATAGGATATTTAAAATAATGCGCTGAATGTTGAAGAACACTGCCTCATGTGGCTGTGTAACAACTGCAGTGCCTCTATATTTCAAGAACATGAAGCATTGTATGTGTAGATGCATGTTTGCTTGCATATTATGATGCAATAGTAAAAGATTACCAGGTGTGTATCCCCATGGTTCATAGTAGGACGGGAATACTCCAAGGTTACAGCCTCGAACAAAGTCCTCATAGTCCATCGGCAGCAGAGGACTGGTTGAGGACAGAAACTCAGGGTGAAAGATAATCTGGGAGGAGGACAGACAGGGAAATATTTTCAGAGAGATATAGAGTAGAAAAATGAGCTTGTGGAAGTCAAAATATTCATTACCACAGGGCATTGTTTGCCATGTATTAAATTGTGCAGATTAGACTTGTCGTTTGCTGTAGTATGTGAAAATTTTATGTCATGTTTCCCAGAGGATGAATATATATACACACACACACATTCATACACACACTATATATATATATATTTATTTATTTTTAATCGTTTTTAAATAGTCGGCTACTTAAACAGACCCGGAGGAACCGCAACGTGCATGCAGTTGTCGGCAGCAGGGAATGCACGCTAAAGTCTGCACAAGACTGGTGATGGCAGGCGAGAGAGAAAGAAAAGGGTCAACAATAAGCCTCAGTTTAGCTGGAGATTATATATATTTTTTTATAATAATAATAGATATAAAATATATAAAGTTGGTGTGTCAGTGGGTTGGTCAGTCCAAACTTTGGTCCAGATTTTTATATTTCAACATCTATTGGATGGATTGCCATGAAATGTTTAACCCTTAATGGTTCCCGCAGGATGAATCAAACTGACTTTTGTGAATCTCTGATTTTTTCCCCAGCAGTTTCACCTATCCTGTGAAATATCTTCACATCTACAAGATGCACTGGCATTGGTACAGACATTCATGGTTTCGAGATGAATTACTGAATGCATCACCATAAGGTTGACAATTTGATTTTTTAGCGAATTTAGCTCAAAGTAGCTCAAGTAGGCCTAAATGCAGCCTGCATGGCTGATGATTATTAGCCTTGTAAAAGCCCTTATGGTTCTGATAAAAATGTTGTCAAACATTTTACTTCATCATCGCCAGGCAACTCATGATTAAGACATTCCCACAAACTAACTCCAGATAATATAATGATGATTAACACATAAAGAAAGCATAGGATATGTTGTCTACCTTGACGCGGTCGTTCCTGGAATTGAAGAGGCCGATGCGTCTGACATTGGACAGGATGGGATCCGTTGAGTCATCCAGCATGTTGTGAGTGGTCACTGGAGGGAGGCTGTGTCTCTGCATAGAATTTATATTTAAAAGAGCAGACCAAACTGACCTCAGTTTGGTGTCTGGTTTGATGGAATTTTCAGTCATCACATTTCCAAATCGAACTGACAACATACACTCACTGGTCACTTTGCTAGAACCGGGTTGGACCCTCCTTTGCCTTCAATACTGCCTTAGTTCTTCGTGGAATAATTTCAACAAGGTATTGGAAACATTCTCAGAGACTTTGGTCTATATTGACATGATAGCGTCACGCAGCTTTGCTGCAGATTTATCGGCTGCACATCCATGATGCAAATCTCCTGTTCCACCACATCCCAAAGGTGCTCTATTGGACTCAGATCTGCTGACTGTGGAGGCCACTGAAGTACAGTGAACTCATTGTCATGTTCAAGAAACCAGTTTGAGATGATTTGAGCTTTGTGACATGGTGCATTATCATGCTGGAAGTAGCCATCAGAGGATGGTACACTGTGGTCATAAAGTAATTTGACATGGTCAGCAACAAGACTCAGGTAGGCTGTCACATTTTAACAATGCTTAATTGGTACTAAGGGGCCCAAAGTCTGCCAAGAAAATATCCCCCACACCATTACACCACCACCACCAGCCTAAACCATTGATACAAGACATGATGGACCCATCCTTTCATGTTGTTTCCGCCAAATTCTGACCCTACCATCTGAATGTCGTAGCTGAAATAAAGACTCATCAGACGAGGCAACGTTTTCCAATCTTCTCTTGTTCAATTTTGGTGAGCCTTTGCGAACTGTAGCCTAAGTTTCCTGTTCTTAGCTAACAGAAGTGGCACCCGGTGTGGTTTTCTGCTTCTGTAGACCATCTTATCAAGGTTTGACGTGTTGCACCCTGGTTGTAACGAGTAGTTATTTGAGTTATTGTTGCCTTTCTGTCATCTCGACCCAGTCTGCCTATTCTCCCCTGACATCAACAAGGCATTTTCGTCCACACAACTGCTGCTGACTGGATATTCTGTCTTTTTCCGACCATTCTCTGTAAATCCTAGAGATGGTTGTGTGTAAAAATCCCAGTGTATCAACAGCTTCTGAAATACTCAGACCAGCCCATCTGGCACCAACAAACATGCCACGTTCAAAGTCACATAAATTCCCATTTCTTTCCCATTCTGATTCTTGGTTTTAATTCAATTCAATTCAATTTTATTTATATAGCGCCAAATCACAACAACAGTTATCTCACAGCGCTTTTCATAAAAGAGCAGGTCTAGACCGTACTCTATGATGCTATTTACAGAAGCCCAACAGTTCCCACCAAGAGCAAGCACTAGGCGACAGAGGCAAGGAAAAACTTCCTTTCAAGAGGCAGAAACCTCGAGCAGAACCATGGCTCAGGGTGGGCGGCCATCTGCCTCGACCGGTTGGGGGTGAGGGAGAGGGGGGGGGGGGCGCAAGAGAGAGAGAGAGGGCAGGAGAGGAACAGAGAGAAAAAGAGAGGGATGGAAGGAGAGAGAGGGGAGGGAGGCAGCCTACACAATATCCACACAGAGGTACAGACAGTAAAGGTGATGCTGCTATAGACTAAATGAAAAATGGTACAGATATTTATAGTAGTGTTAATGATAACAATCGGAATGTTAATGATTATAATAACAATAATAACAATAGGACTAGTAACAATAGTCGTTGCAGCAGAGGGTGTCGAGCAGGAACACGGGGGCAGCAGGTGACCCGCAGCCACAGATCCAGACTCCACAGCTCCAGAGCCAGAAACACCTGCAGGAAGTGATAGGAGGAGAGAGGAGAGGGACGAGAAAGCACAAGACTACCAGAAAGGGGAGAAGTTGTGTTAGTAACATGCAATAATGGGATGAGGTTGCATACAGAGGGAGAGAAAGTAGAGGAGAGAGGAGCTCAGTGCATCATAGGAAATCCCCTGGCAGTCTAGGCCTATAGCAGCATAACTAAGGGATGGTTCAGGACTCACCTGAGCCAGCCCTAACTATAAGCTTTATCAAAGAGGAAAGTCTTAAGCTTACTCTTAAATGTGTGCCTCCTGAACCCAAACTGGAACCTGGTTCCACAGGAGAGGAGCTTGATAGCTGAACGCTCTGGCTCCTAGTCTACTTTTGGAGACTCTAGGAACCACAAGTAACCGTGCATTCTGGGAGCGCAGTGCTCTGGTGGGGTAGTAAGGTACTATGAGCTCTTTAAGATAAGATGGTGTCTGACCATTAAGAGCTTTGTAGGTAAGAAGAATGAAGGTTTTAACTTCAGCAAGTTGTCTTAACCACGTCTACATGCCTAAATATATTGAGTTGCTGCCTTGTGACTGGCTGAGTAGCTGTTTGTTTAACATGCAATTGGACAGGTGTACCTAATAAAGTGGCCAGTGAATGTCTATGACAGTCAAGATTAGATTTCATTATAATGTCTGTTTAAAGGGGTGACAGCCTGATTACATTTTTTAATGATAGTGGTTACAGTTTCGACCACTTTTAATTTATCTTTATTTTGACATTGCCTTGTAGCAAGTTTATTTCCCCTCAGGGATAATAATGTTAATCAATCAAAATAATTTTTGTCATCATGATTAGGTCTACTGCAAATATGTTCAATTTAATCTGAATTCTCTAAAACGTGGATCTATGGAGTATCAGCTGAATTTTAATAACTGTACAGTACTGTGAAAAGGTTTTAGACAGGTGCTGTAAAGTAAGAATGCTTTCAAAAATAAACATGTTAATAGATTATATTTATCAATTAACAAAATGGAAAGTGAGTGAACATAAGATAAATCTAAATGAAATCAATATTTGGTTCACTAACAAAGATCATGCGAAAGTGAGGTATAAAAAGGTATTTCATGATGAATTGGTGTTGGGCTGAGATTAAGTTCAGTCTCCAGATGAACTTCATGATGTCGAGTGTTTGGGAGCAACCTTTGTTTATGATGTCAAGGCAGTGTGGTTGTCGATGTATACCAGAATGAATGAAGAGTGAACCATCTGCCTCTGAAGTAGTCGGTGTATGAGTTTATGTTGGGTTATGTGGTTGTTGTCAGAGAAAGAGATGCCGTTCCAAGAAGAAAGGTTTGGAATGTAGGAGGTAGTTTGGAATGTACAAAGAAATATGAGGTTGGGAGGGAGGCTTGAAAGGAAGTGAAATGAATATCATAGGGTTGCATCTTGCACCTGAATGTGGGGCCGAGGATGAGTTATATGAACGGTTCTGAGAAGTGCTGAAAAGAAGACCATCTAGAATCTAGGTGTTTGGGCGACACTTTGCAAGTGCAAATATATCGGATTGGGCCAACCAGGCACGGTGGCCGGTGAGATGGTTGAGGTTGGTATCATGTGAGAAGGTAGCATGGTACTTGAAAAGACCGTGGGGGAAAGAGAGATGGCTCTTTGCCAGAGTAAGTACTGGTGGTGATACTGATATGCCTGGGTTGGTGAATGGACTTGTCATGAAGCTGTTGTCGACTTCTTTAGCTAGGAACTTGGCCACTGGCACGGCGAGGACGGACTGGAGGTTATGATGGAACTGGGATTACCTTGATGAGGTAGGGGAGGGGAAGGGGAACAGGGAAAGAATAGGAAGAAATGGCATGACATGGAACGCTGCGGCTTGTGGCTGTGGTGGAATGGACAGCAGCGCTGGTGGTGGTTGCTGTGAGAGAAAGAGAAAGAGCTACTTTAGTGGGAGTAGCCAAAGGAGCTATGTTGGCTACAGCTGAAGGAAGGGAAGAAATGATGCTGGGTGGAGGGATGTATGTGCAGGGGTAGGGTGTGCAGCCTGCTGTGACATGGATGAGAGAAAGAGGGGAAACAAACAGGAAAAAATGAGACACAAGGGGAGCAGGTACGGGGGGTGATAAGACATCCTCTGTGAGGGCTGAAGCTGTTATTGTTGCTGCGGTGGGTGGCGTGACATCATTGGCGGGCTTGGTGTGCGTAGCGCTGGGATGGGAATGCGGAAGTGAGCGGCCAACTGGAGCACTGCTGGAGGTGGCTGTGTAAAGCTTGAAAAACCTATTTTTGTCGGCGGTCCGGTGTAATGGGAATACCTTTTCTTGAGTGTACACTGGAGGTGGGAAACTGTCGAGTTGGAGATGGTTGTGGCGTGGAAAGGAGCCATAATTGGGTTGGACAGTCTGCGGCCATGGGTCGAGCATCATGGATTTCTTCTATGAAGGCCAGTTCTGACCAAATTTCTCCGGACAGTAGATGGGTGTACCAGGGTCCCACTGTTTTCTGCAGCTCTGGGCTGGTGGCACTGCTGAACATCTTTCAGTTGTGGAGGGAAGCATAATGTGTCTCTGCAGTAAGTTTCTTCCGACCACTGCTTCTCCTCAATGTTGTCTATTTCTTTGTGCTTCTTCAAAAATAGCTTGGACAGCAAATTTGGAAACCCCTTGAAATATCTGCCTGGGACCTTGCTGATGCAGTATAACTACATCGTTGTGTCTTGTTACTGTGCTCAGTCTTGCCACGGTGTATGACTTTACTGTCTTTAGCAGCCTCGCCTTGTTAGCTGAGTTTAGCTGTTTTTTACCCAGTTGTATTCCTCCTACACAGCTGTTTCAGTTATTGATTCTGATTCAACCTACATAATGAATTGGTAATCATTAGCACCTGTTTGCTTTAGTTGTTTAATCATACACCTGATGATGTGCCTACAAAATCCCTGATTCTGTGTACCTAGAATGTTTGATGCTGTTTTTAAGGTAAAGGGTGGTCACACCAAATGTTGATTTGATTTGGATTTTTCACTCACTTTGTATTTGGTTAATTGATATATGTATAATCTATTAAAGGTAAAGTGAGTAAGATTTAGTGGCATCTAGCGGTGAGGTTGCGAATTGCAACCAACATTCTAGTGTATCTAGTCTATCACTCCCCCCTTTCAAAGAGCGTAGGGTAGGTACGATGGCTGACAACGGACAAAAGGTGTCATCTTCTGATACAGCAGAGACTAGCCAGTCAAGAAATGAGTATTCTTTAGGTAGATATATTAAGAAATTATATTTACTTAATTATTCAGTAAAACCATTTGTTATTGCGACTTGGCCACAGATTTCTTTTAGTAATGCGTAAACTGTATTACAGCAAAAAGCAATACATTACTTCCAACCCTGCTGTTTCTTCAACACAGTCCATTATAAATCACATAATAGATGAAGTTTATACAAACACTGACAAGGTAAACACGTTTCTCTGTGATTATGGACCCTCGCCAAAACTGCCCGCCAGCAATAATATCGGGCCTGCGGCAAGATTATAGTGCTTTGATAACGGCAAAAAAATTTTAATAAATAAATAAATACTTTGATAGCGTTGCTGAAATAGATCTCATTCATGACAGCAACAGTTACCTGCATAATCACTTCATCTTTAGTGGTTTTGCCTGCAAAATA